CCGTTCAAATCATAGTGACGTAGTGCACACTTGTACGTTCATGGTTCACATTGTGTGTCGTGGTGTACATAAAAAAAAGGACTGTATTAYTGTACAGTGTACAGCATAACGATAGCCACTGCCCACCTTATTTAAATTAAAATTTTTTTTTTATTTTAAATAATTTGTACTCTTGGAACTAGGATTTGCAAAATTGCAAAGTGAGCTACTGTGCTAGAAGAGAACTTTTTGATCAATAAGTGATTAATGATTATCTACACTACGTCAGTACTACCTATGTGCTACGTGACTGTCGTACTACATAGTACGTAACGTAMAATTTTTATCATAATATTACTATTTTGTTTGTGTTATCAATTTATTATCCGTTTAGATTTCAGTAAAAAATTGACGTGTTCCTATCATTCATGTTATCGAGGCATCGAGCCGAGTCCCGAGGAAAATGAGTGTACACTGACTACACTGTACAAAAGTATAAAACGCCTTAAACACTAAACAGTAATCATTACAATATTAATTTTAATAGGCACTGTGACTACTTCGTAAAAAAATAATTTATTCAGAATACATTCAAATAAATAACTATTTCTTTACGTTTAATGTTTATACCTATTTGATTTCGTTCCGACTCAATCTCTCAATCACATATTTTGTCAGTTGTTATTTCTAATACATACAGATTGCTCCATTCGTTAATTAAGTGCATATATTTTTGCCTTAAAATGTTATGTGTAGTTAAGTAAAATTTCTCAATTTAGTATTTGCATYAAACCACACCCTTAGCAGTATTATCTTTAGAAATGGGGCTTTGTAAATGTCCAAAACGCAAAACAACGAGCCATTTTTGTTTTCATCATTGTGTCAATGTCTGTGAGCATTGCATTGTTAACAATCATACAACAGTAATTATTCATAACAAATAATACTATTAATTTTTGTTTTTTTCACTAAATAGTTTTTAATATCAACCATGCTTTAGTGCACAGTTAAATCATATACCACCTGGCTGAAAGAAGCAAGTGGTAGCATATCGTCATCATCGGTTACATCAGCTGCATTATGTGCTGTTTGTCAAAAACAATTTGTTTTAACATCAAAAGAAGTTGATAATTCATCAGTTCATTCCAATGGTCCTAKAAGTAATACTAAAATTCCTATACGGCTTTTATGTTATCGTAAGTAAACAATATAAATATTAGATGTCTACAGTTTTTATAGTCATAAATAGTGCCTAGGTATCATATAACAAATTTATAATACATTATTAAATTCTTTAAATACATATTTATTATTTACCTATTTGATATTACACATAAYTTTAATTAGATATGCAAAGAAATCTTCTTAAATGATTTCTGCCCTGAATTTTAATTTTAAATAAAAACTACATCTAATTAATCCAGACTTTSCTTAATTCAGATAGTTACCTAACAATACTTATTATTAATATTATAAAAATATTCTCAACATTTAACAATTTCTTTAAACCAGTAAGAGTGTCAAGTGTGATAGAATTAAGATGTGCCTTGATAGAACAAATTTTGTGATGCACTTGTTATTTGTAGGGCTTAATACTGTATTGCATCATATATTGTATATGAAATAGACTTAATTTCTTAAATTTAAAATACCCATTATTTTCTTAACAGAATGTTTGGGTTATTTTGTAGGCTAGAATCCAAATTAGTCTAGATAAATGAGGTTTTACCATATTGACAATTTTGATATAATACTTATTTATTTAATCAATAGTTATTTTATAAATTATTAWTTTTAATGATAATTTATAGATGTAGTGCATACACGATGTTTATCATCTTATGTTAAAAAGCAATTTAAAGAAGGAAATATTTTGAAATGTCCATCATGCGATCGACAATTGTGGATGCAACAAGAAAACCAATCACAAGTTTCTGATGACAACTCAGGAGTTGAATCTAATGATTTAACACCTGTTGCATCACTGTTGTACAAACATTTATTGGATAATGGCAGTTGGTGGGGCCAGGCATTGATTAAAAATGGAAATGTATGTAATAGATAATAATATAAATTTATTTAAATTGTGTCTATAAAAAAAATTATAGTAATTTCTTTTTTATAAGGTGAATGATATTGAGAAACATTTAATTGAAGATGAAATGCGTGAACTTGGAGAAGAATCAGATGAAGAAATACAACAATTCGAAAGCCTATCAACATTTAAAGATAATACTTCTCAAATAAATATTATTGCAGACAATTCATCCCCAATCACACTAGCTGAAAAAATGCATTTGCCTGATAGTAGCAATGGTTATTACAATCGTTTTGAATTAAAAAATACAGCACCAGATGTAACAACTATCAACTACCGTAATAATACAAATCAAATATATCAGCCAATTCATCATCGACACTTCAACAATAACTATGGTAAATAATTTAAAATAAATAAAGAAAAAACAGAAATTTTGAAGTTTATATTATGTCATGTCTATTCTGATTRTATATTAATTTTAAATTATGATAAACTACCTAATTGAATTCTTATTTTATTGTAAAAGTAAAATTAAATTCTAATTTTTTTTTTTTTTTTTTTAATGCAATTTTGAAGATAAAAATAGCAAATAATACCTAGGTAATTAAATATTATTTATAACAGAATGATTCATTTAAACTTTTAGTAGTATGGATGTGAAGATATTTATTGGAATTGGCGGGGCCAAATGAAAAAAATTATTACATTCCTACCGTAGATTTTATCTTGTATGAACATTTTAAATATCAAATAATGGTTTATGACATTTTAAAAACAAACAATGTAATACTTGTTTATAAAAATCATAGTATATTTATTCTGAAATTAAATATAGTGTAATACAATTTTTATTTATGCTACAGGTTATCTTATTTACAAGATATTGAACAAGATACCAGAGTTTCACATAATAATTGGGCTTAACATATATCATTCAATTATCATTGTCATTCAAATAAATACAATTTTTTACTATGCATATCTTTCATTCAATATAACTTTGGTTTGACTACTGCTAAAACAAAATTATTTGTTATTATGATTTTACTTTTTAGGTCAAGATTCAGCATTAACATTACAGCAGTTGCAGCATAATCATCATCATCATCAACAACCACAACAACAACAACTGTGTTCATCTGTTAATATGACAACAATTGCACAGAGTTCAGATTTGAATAATAGACATRTGATAACGTCCATTACTCCATTATTATTAAATAATGAAAATAATTTGAATCATGATGAACAACAAGATCCTAGTGGAAAATACAGGCCTAAAAAGTTTAACAATCAATCTTGGTCTTTAAGTTACCAACGTCTATTGCAATATTTTCGAGGGTAAGGACAATATCCTAGCGATTACTGGATACTATTTGAATAAATACAATTGTTTTAATCATGGTTATCTACTCAGGTTAGAAATCTAAGTTTTAGAAGTTGTGAGTTGTAATTAAACAAAACAAGCGATGTATTGTTAAACTAAACCGTTAGTAATCCTTGTTTCATGTCACACTCTGATTGTAGTTAAACAATAAATCTTATGTTATGTCATATACTTTAATAATTAAGATTTTAGAGTAATGTGTAAATAATTCATTATTAAGATAAATTTTTTCTCTTCAAGATTATCAAATTTAACTATTAATATCATTTTAAAAATAATAGATAAAATGTTTAATGGAGCAGTTGATAATGTATGAATACTTAATAAACATGATAAATTGAAAGAAACAGTTGAATACTGTATTTTATTTTTCCTATTAATAATTTGTTTATTAGGTATGATTGTATAAATTATTATTATGCTTACAATTAATTTAAATGTATACATTTTAATCAAAATTTACTTAAATATGAATAAATTACCTTCCTTAATTAGGAATATCGATTTACTTCCCGATATTGAATGATATTTTCTTAAGCAACTTTTACTTAATTCCGGATTACGGGGGGTAATGMATCTCAGTATCTTATATGAATTACCCTCATAAACAAATAAACGCCCATTACATATTAACATGTGATAATAATTCATCAATTTATTAGTTATATAAATAAATAATATATAATTATTAAATAACCTATAATAATCAACATAGTATAATAGTTTACTACTATGTTTAAAGAACTATATTAATAATGAATCTATAATTTACATACAATTTTATTATACACTAAGTATTTATTTCACTGGTCTATTTCATTAGTTTTATCCGGACTAGTGCTGTTAATTATCTTGTGCAAAAGCCCACTWGGTTATAACTTATGAGACTAACAATAGAAGTATATCCCAACTCCTAACCATCATATTTAAACTCAGTCTTAATTAACATTCCATAAATGCATGACAATTATTTAGTGTTTAGTTTATCAGAAAAATGAATCAACTTGAGAGGTGAAATTATTTATAATAATTGTAACTTATTTATAGTTAAGGTGACCAGATATAAAAATCCCAAAAAAATTAAAACTTAGGTCTTCCTCTGTCATAACTCATAATTAACCAATGTGTGTACTTTTCTACCCATTTTGCCCATACCATAGCTATTAGCGGCCATAGGTCATCTCCATTTATATAATTTGTTTTTTTATCTGATTACTCTTTTATTTTTTTTCCTATAATCAACAATTAAAACTTATTATTCGAAATTATGTCAACTAATTTGGTGTGTGTCTAAGATGAAAATACTTTAAATTTAAGATTTTTTAAGTAAACCTAAACTAAGTATAAATTATTTTTTAAAGGTAAAAATACCAAGTGTAAAATTTTCTAAGATTATCTTCAATTATGTTAGTTATTTGGTATGTCCATTATTGTAAATATCTAAATGGTGGTAATAATCAAAATATAAAAAACAGTAAAAACACATAAATACGTATTAGCTTATATTTTTTAAAAAAAGAGTACAATTTCATGTACTTAACACTATTGTTAAGGACACTAGGACACACATCAAAAAAAAGAGTACAGTCCTGCGAAAAAGAGTACGTTTGGTAACCATATTTATAGTTAGTAATAATTAATAGAATATTTTAGCTTGTACATTTAAATTATTAAAATAATATTGTAATTTTTGTTTTCAGTACAAACAATAAAGTAGAAGATTATAGTACTACAAGAATCGCCACAATAATTCTTTTTTGTTTGTTGATAATTGTAGTTTTATTAGTAGCTATTACTAGTTATACACGTTCCAATAATGAACCATTTGATAATAACAGCATAGATTATGCTGGAGATGATATTGAAAATAATAGTGATGGTGTAGCAACAAATTTAAAAAGCTTCAATGTTAACAATTTGTAACACTAAATGTAACTGAAGTAATATTACTAATAATTTTGATGTACCATTTGTTTCTGATTAGATTAAAAGATAAACTTTTTTTTTGTTTTCATTGCAAATCATTGTGCAATCATATTAATCATTATATTTTATTGTGAGATTCTCACTCAGTTATTTTATCAGTCGCAAAAATATTACATTAAAATTGTTTCTAATATAGTGATATTTTTCACACAAAACCTTGAATTTTAATGAAAATTTAGTTTTATATTTATTTTTATTTTATTTTTAAAATTTAAGTTCAAAACATTAACTATTTTCTCTGCATTACATATATTTATTAGCATTAGCTGGCAGTAATTGTTATTCTTTTTAAACACTTATCTTGTAGAATATTGTTGCAATATGATAAATATCCATTTCTTTCTTTAAAATACATTTTTAAACAGTGTTTAAAAGACTTATTGTTAAATCTAAATCTCTTATAAATTGTTTTGTGATGTATGTCTTGATAAATTGTCTAATAAATGTTATAACTGATTATAATTGTCATATTTGTTTATGTATTATATTTATGTGCGATAATGTGCAGTATGCTATTATTATTAAGATAAATGTGGAATTTTAATAATTCCTTACCAAAATCTATTTTATATTTATACTATTATTATGTATGTTTTTTATTTGATAAAAAAAAATGTATATGATATAATGAAAAAAAAATTTATTTTTACAAAGTATATTATATAAGATAGTTTTTTCAGTTGATAAGCTTATAATTTTAATTTTTAAATGATTTAAGTTATTTAAAAAAAATGATATTCTCCAAATGTGACAAATGACAAGTACCCCAGTAAAAAACTCTTTCTGTGTTGCAGTTACCTACTCAGCATTCAGCATTTTTGAAATATGACTCAAAATGTATCTTCATTGTTCTCCGGATCATAAGCACGACAACAAATTTACTGAAAATCTAATTAATTACCCAACCTAACTATATTTTAACTCTAATCTAATCAGTGTGATAACACATCAAAAATTATTTGGAATATTATAGTCCATTACACGCAACCTGCAGAAAGTACTCAAATTAGTAAATTGTATTTTATAATCTTTATGTGCAATGAATCTATGTTGTATCAAAATTGTTCAATTTTCTGAAAAAATCAAAATGAATAAATTTAAATCTATTATGTGTATTTACTAAAATATATCAGAGAAATGTATGTGATGGTTACTATGAATTTCAGTGGAATTATCTCAAAATGTTCATAAAACAAAAAATAATTGAATAACTTAAAACATATTTGATAATAAATAATATCGTTTTAAATTTACACTTGATATAAAAATATAAAGTTATAGATGTTAGATCGCTATGCAAAATAGATGTTTATTAGATATTTTTGACTTGGCTTACAAAATAATAAGACTGTGGTGAATTAATTTGATATACAACCTTATTTTGAAATAAAGTATGATTGTAAATGTGTTCAAACTGTTACAAAATAAATTCTATTCMACCAAGTATGGGCACTAACCTAACCACCTAACCAGGAACAAGGAGATATTCAGATGTAGTTCTGATTTCTGCTATAATTATCGTCTTAAYGTTGCTTGTCGAAACTGAGTGGGTATAACTGCATAAAATATTACAAATCTTACCCCAAACGTCTTGAGTTACAATAGTTACATTATTATTGTCCATMAATACAATTTGGTTTATCGCAGAYCGCCAGTATTGTTGCGTTAACAAATTCAACTTACGTCTTACTACTTATTTGAAAATATAGGTAGTAACTAGTGTTTTCATACATCTATAATTGACGACATCATTGATTTTTGTTAGCTTATTCATTAATTATTGTTAATTGTTATTTTTTATAATATTATAAATATTTGAAAAAAATTAATTTAGCCTCCAAACAAAATCCTGTGTACCATACCTTTGGTAAAAAATTATAATATTTTCCTTGTTAGGTTAGGTACTTTATTATTATTCTGTTTAGTGTTTCATATAAATATTGTAGATGTGCACATATTTAGAGCAAAGATAGTGTATTACCTATAGTATATTATTCATTACTCCCAGTAAACACACATGTACACAATTTCTTTTCAAAAACAATAAATCTTATTACAATTTTACATCTACAGACCTGCTGCAGTAGGTGCCATGGTTAAACATGGAATCCCACCTGATTTTTATAAAAATTTAGGTTGCAACGGCAAGTGCTTATTTTTATTTTTCGTAGTGCACAAAGTGTGTTATTGTGGTACATTACTACACCAGTGGCGCAACCAGGGGGGTGGATTGCGGGTCCGGATCGGACYCCCTCCCCCTTTGGCACGCATAGTATTGTTACTTGCAACTTGCTAGTAAAAACATATACTTATTGTTTAATGTTAATACAAATGAAGATGGTTTATTTTGTTTAGTGGCGGCCTGGGGACAGATTACATGGTCGGCTAAATAAAAAAGACGTGGGGCCTTGAACATATTTTTTCAATACATTTAAAGCGGGCCCAGTCGGCGATCGCTGTCTCGTCGACCTGGCCAGGCCGCCACTGATTTTGTTGGACCTTCCCCCTTCCCTATGAAAAATGTCTGGTTGCGTCAGTGTTTTCTTTCAAAATGCAACATATGGGAACTATATATTAATAATATATTATACAGGTAAACGTATCAAAAGAAAAAAAAAATTGTATCTAGATACATTATTAAATATCATTAATTTATTATATCTTTTGATAATGTACTAATAATGAAACACTATAATTTATAATATTAGAGTAAATGATAATTGATATCTAGTAAGTAGTTATGGGCAATTAATATTATGCACCTTCTGACTTCTGTATCAAGTGTATCATAACTCATAGAATATAAGTMCATGATAAATAGTCACAAACAATAATATTCATAATATACCTATAAYGGGAGTCCGCTTATGACATAAGTATCTATTATATGCGTGTTCCTACACTACGGATGCTACGTAGCTACGTAGATATCTTATAATTGTATAATACAGTGTATACCATCGATTACCTGGGGACTGATTTTAGTAGGTACCTATTTGGTAAGTAAGCAGTAATTATTAAATAAATAACATTAAAAATTAAAGTGATACATATTGATATGTCACGTSATTATACGTTTTAATTTTTCGATATTTTGATTGTYGACCACTTGTCGAAATGTCGACTCGAATTCGTTAAGTGGTTGCCTATTTTATTTTTCTTATGGTTTCCTCTATAGATACATAACTAACATGCTACAATAACAAACGCGAATATAATGCATCTACTCAACTCTTTAGATTTGCGTGTCCCCTCCGTCGTTATTTTAAGATTTTAACACTCCGACAAATTGCGCGGGCCATGACGAAAATATAACCATCTATAATACTCTACTTCTACTATAGTCGTCTACTTCTACTAATACGATTACTACTACCATTACTACTAGTTACTACTACTACTACTACTACCACCACCGCTACTATTATTATTACTTCAATAATACTCGTTGGCCGTTGCCGTTCTGCTCTAACACGTCGCTCTTGCCCCACTTATCCGAGCACTGTTCTGAACAGCTGCCACCCAAAATTCGTTGCCCCACTACAGAGTGCCGGCGATGAGTCATCAGGAAAACATTTCGTCCGCGCAATACTGTTATCGCGTTTTCATTTTGCTTCTGATTATTTTTCCTGCATTTTTCACGAACTTCGACATTTCCTGACTACCGACTCGTTTGAGCGCCCTGCACCTCAACAACATCAGCATCAGGTAATCGTTGAGCACCTGAGTACGTCCGCATATCAACACTCGGTGCGATTTATTTTTCGATTTGTTGACAAAAGTCGTACATGAGTATAGTTATAGAAGTAAGTACCTTCTGATCTTATTATTTTGACAAATGACTCATTTGTCTTATCTGTGCATACGCAAGCGTTTGAACAATTTCTGAATAAATATTTGTGCCTAAATGGGTCTATATTTTATACCTGAGCTTTTTTATGTAAAATACTCGATTATATGGCTGCGTACACCGTAGCTACATGATAATATGATATTATAATACAATACCTGGTAGAGTAACACAGTTTCTAATCCTTTCCTCAGTTCCACCTATATTGTTTTAATTTATTGTATAATATATAATCTGGACATTAAAATGTTATCATGATAACATGATCATTGACCGATTTGGCCGTTATATATAGATTAAAACATAACTTCAATAGTTCAATGTACTATTGTAAACCTGACAAGTACGAGGTAGACAATAGATGTATCATACTCACATCTTTTTTCTATTATTGAACAAAATTATTCTTATTTGATTTATTAACACGTTAACTGCCATACCGCTGCCGGCATCCGTATAATAATAATTAGGTATTGATAATTTTTASACCGCCAACTGCCACACCATATCATTCGTAGGACGCCTTATGGCCGCAGGCTGCCGTAAATTAATTTGGATTTATATTATTAACTTTTCCGTGGCGCTACAATAATGATCTTGAAAATATGCTGTGGTGTAGTGGGAATAATTGAAATTTTTTGATGTAATAAATATAATTTTAACATTTTTTATTTATACTTCAATTTTTTTTTCAAATTCAATAGTATATATACAAATACAAATTTATAATGACACTGAAAAAAGTCTTTGGCGATAAATATTCTTGAGGCTGCCGGCGGCAATTAAGTCAACTTTGCATTATAAGTATTTTTTTTTACAATTTGTTGTTTTATTTTAGGTAAACTTACAGTTACAAGGCCATCAATAATGTTTTCAAATCGGCAACAACAAAATTCTTCAAATTTGTTACACCAAACAATCTCATCATCTGGTTCAATTGTTCTACCTCCTCCACCACCTGCAATTGCTATTCCTACAATGGTATCAAGCAATAGTTCAGCTACTACAACAGTGGCTACCACCATCTTGGCTGTAAGTAATGYTCTAAGATATTACTACTAAATATTACCTATAATGTACTTGAATGAATAGTTATGATGCTAGTAAAAATGTWATGTTAATTGTCAAATTGTTAGTTAATTTTAATTGGTGAAATATATAAATTTGATGTTTTACTAACATCTCTAAATAGAATGATAGAGTATATCAGTAATTGGTAAATACTAAACGGGAAACACAGCAAGATTTTGATGTTGAAAGGGTTATTATTATGAAACTTGATAGTAAGACAATTATCTGCGTTTAATTGTAAAA